TTGCCAAAAAAGCTTCAAAGAAAATACCAAGTTATTGCGTAATTCTGTTAAGCATAAAGCAGATATTGAAGAAAAATGTAATGGTGTGAAAAACGGTACTGTATTTAGTAGCATTCCGGGATTCGATATTTTTGAAAGCGTAATGTTTGATCCTATGCATGATATTTTAGAAGGCGTATGTAGAATTGAACTAGGAGAAATTTTTCATCAATTCATATTTATCGACAAACTATTTACATTAAGTACGTTCCAAAATCGAATACAACATAACACAAATCGTGATGCGAGGAATAATTTGATTGAAGTGAATGCGGATCATATTAAAAAGAAAAACATAGTTATAAGTGCGTCAGAAATGAAGTTTTTATTGTTTAACTTAACGTTTTTGATTGGCGATTTGATTCCTAAAAATAATAGAGTATGGAAAATCTATTTGTCATTGAGAAAAATAACGTTTTTGATATTTGCTCCATTGCTTAATAACCAAACTATTTCTATATTACAAAAAGAAATTGAAAATCACCACTCACTATATTATAAAATTTTGCATAAACGTCTCAAGCCAAAACATCACCATATGCTACATTATGCGAGAATGATCAAGATATTAGGTTTACCTTCCCAATTTTCATGCATGCGTTTTGAAGGTAAACACAGACCACTAAAAAACATAGCCAAATCAACTACATCGCGAGTCAGTTCCGCAAAAACGTTGGTCATAAGAAACCAAATTGAATTAAATTATCGTTTCTTAGTTATCGAAGGCTTTCAAAGTAAAATTGAATACGGCAAACAATTATTCCATAGCGTTATATTTTTAAGTAACTATAATTTATATAAATTAATATTACCACCTGATATAGTTTCTGACTATGTACCTATATCGTGGATCTCGATATTTGGAAAGAAATATTCGAATGGATCTATTGTAATAACGAATGTTTGTAAGGAGATCGTACAATTTGGAAAAGTACTTGATATTTTGATAAAGAAACAAACCAATGATGTTATATTTTTATATGATAATTTGAAAAATATTACGTATTCAAATCATTTATGTGCCTACGAAGTTGAAAGCACTCACCAGTATGACATTATTTCATATAAAACTATGCCCAATATAAATATTTATAATTTTCAAACATGTAATTCGAAACATTATGTTACTTACGATATGTAATAGAAATATGTATAATAAAGATCAAAATTAAAATAAAAATGAAATTTTTATTTTCTCCTATATTTATTGATATCGTCTCTCCACTGTTCCGAACATAGAACTTTTATTTGAATGTTAGTTTTCATTATATTCACCTAGGTGGCTGTTTGTTACTCGCAAGTGGCTAGGAAATCGTCCGATTAGTATATATAAGGACATTTTAGACTCTAGAATAAAGCGAATCATGGCGAATTGTGAGTCATCGTTGCGAAAACATACTAACTTGTATTAGCGATTTGCGTGCGAATTAAATTACCTGCGTTAACCAATAACATATAAATTATAATTTGTAATCCCTAAAATATGCTAATAATGTATAAAAATAGAATATCTTTCTAAAGTAAATAAGGTACATGTAGTAATTGTAATTGAAGAGGAAAATGCAGAAAAAATTTTTATGAGATTTTTCGTTTTCTATGTTGATTCAATCTATAAAATGGCAATTGCTGTAACATTTGCCTGTGTAAAATTGACATAACGGATAATCTTGAATTAACAACAAAGTAGTAATCAATTTAACATCCTCACGCCTGTAGATTTGAAATACCGTATGATCTTGACTCAACATCAGTGTAGTCAATTTAATAGACTCGCGTCTGTAGAATTAACATCGAGATATTTTTAAGTTAACAGTGGATCTGCTATTGTCGTATTTCAACAGCGAGAAATTTGTTGTTACAACAAATTTTTTTTTCAGTGCGTGCCGCGGAATCACAAAACTGTTTTTGACCGAGCTCGAAAAATAATGTACATGTTGGTTATGAATCAAATAAGAAGGTAAATGCTGTTATGTTAATATCAGATGGTGATATTCAATTGAACAATAATTAGAATAGAGAGGATAACGAGATTAAAATGAATGAACACGCATAAAATAAAGAAAAAGGTAATGTCCTTATTCATTGTAGACTTCTAAAAAAGCTCCAAAAGAACTTCGGACTACGCTTTACAAATTTTTACCCATACTTTCGAATAAAAAGACAGTTAATCCTAGAGATTTAGTTTGGTGTAAGTTTGGCCAAACTTTGCCCAAATATTTTATCAAACATTAAAAAAAATATTGCTATTACCTTTGGCCAAAGTTTGACAAAATTTTGGCCAAAGTTACGATTTAAAAGTAAAAGAAAAAGCTTTATATGATTGTCTTAATTTGGTTCAAGTTTTGCCACACTTTTGCCAAACTTATGATTAGAAATCAAATTTCAAAATTAAATTCACAATAATTTTGGGGAACGTTTTCAATTTTTGAAATTTTTTTACGGTAGAAAGTCGTATGGTTTATCGATAAATTTTGGAAATGTGCCTGATGTTGAATGTTCTGATATAAAAGTCCATAAAAAGTCATTGCTCATGAATATTATTTTCTCTACTTCTGTAGTCAGTATATTTTGATATGGAACGTTTTTACTATAAAAGACCGGGGCAAAACGAGATAATGGGATATCAGAGAGATTTTTTTGTTGAAACATTTGCTTTCGTTTGAACAAAAATTTAAACATAATTTTAGTTTCAATTTTTATTAATAATTATATTTAATTTATACATAATGCTTACGAAATGCGTACATAATCTGTACGAAATATGCACATATTTCGTGTACAATATGTACAAATGATATGCAAAATACATACGTATTATGTACACATATTTCGAAATAAATACGTACGAAATACATACGAATTATGTATATATTTTGTATGTATTTTGCTTTAATTTCATACGTGTATACGTACGAATTACGTACGAAATTCATACATTAATTTCCAGCGGGGATAACATTTATTGTTTATTTTATGACGGTGTAATTGCATTTTTAATATGAAAGATAATAAAATTGTCTGCGGTTATTGTTTCTGAATAAAGAAACGAATTAGAAAAATAATATAAACCAATATTATAAAACTATCATAGTTTATATGCATACATATACATGATAAAAATAGATTAATAAGGATTATTACATTTATTTTCGTTTATTTTCTATTAGAAAATTTAAAATCAATATCCTACGTTCAAAATAAAAAAAGTAGTCATGATGTTGATTTTATGTAATCTTTGAAGAATACATATAGATATCTTTCAAGATATTTTGGCGATAATTTGCTGATAGACACTCGATCTCTTAAAGCGATATCTTTAATTAATAGTCAAAGATCTTTCAAAACATTTCTTGACTTTCTTAAGATAACATAAAGTAGACTTTCAGACATCTTCATGTTTTCCGGGTTGGTGTGATCAATAGAATCGTAGATATCTTAAAAAAATTGCGCGTTCATGCTGAAAAATTAGCTTATTTATACTATTTTTTCGACCAGTTTTGTTAAAATCTACTTATTCATAATTTCAAAAAACGGACGTATTCGATGTTAAAAATTACTGAGGCAACAGTTAGCAGCTTGAATTTACTGCTGAGCTGGGGCTCATGTATCGCGAGAAAAAGGCTAAGAGTCTTTGTCGAGGCATTGAAGAGTTATCACCTATTTTCAAGCTTGTTTGTAGATTATCACAATAGCCTTTATAATAAAAAAATCAATCTTAAAAATTATAATCATTCTGATAATTATTTCAAATTATTGACTTACGAAACAAACAGTTTGTTTTGTCACGAGTACTGATAAATACTTTGTTTAATTAATTAATTATAAATTTTTAAACAATTAAATGTTGATCGTTGTTTTTTATTCATTTTGCAGACTCTAGAGTTGAAAATTTGTGTGGAAAAAACTACGTCTAAACGACTACTCTACACATTGACCATTGACAGATTGGCCACAGGAAAATATGTACCGATGCGAAAACAGCCCGACACAAATAATATTATTATTTATAAAAAAAATGATCACATCTCACGTATGTCTAATTGTATTTCTCGAAAAAATAATTATTTGTTATTGTACCATTATATTTCTCATAAAAAATAAAAAATATCGTTATCGATAATTCACCTCCTATTTATTCACATAAAAGACATAATTAAGCAAAAATAAATTCACAGAAAAATTGTACCTTCTGTACAATTCTATAAATTTGTTTCTAAAAGAAATAATAGGACAATTACAAAGCTCTACGCCTGCGCAAAGTGCATTTCCGGATGACATCCTTGTAAATTGTAACAATTAGTAGTAATTTGTAATTGTCCTATTATTTCTTTTAGAAACAAATTTATAGAATTGTACTGATGGTACAATTTAGACTACAGAAGGTACAATTTTTCTGTGAATTTATTTTTGCTTATTATGTCTTTTATGTGAATAAATAGGAGGTGAATTATCGATAACGATATTTTTTATTTTTTATGAGAAATATAATGGTACAATAACAAACGAGAAGTACAATTAGACATACGTGAGATGTGATCATTTTTTTTTATAAAATATTATTTGTGTCGGGCTGTTTTCGCATCGGTAAATATGTGATTATTTCAATGTCAAAGGATATAACATACCATAAACGTAACGAAGAGAAAGAACAAAAGCAAGTTACCGCTTTGTTTGGATTTCTCTATATGCATATTGTACGTACACGTGTAGGTATAATATGCATGCGTGTAGAAAGCAAAACATTTGATAATGGATCCCCACTTAATATCTTACTATATTTACTAAACCAATGAAAAGCTATGATTTTAAAATGCTGTGACTTTATTGGTTAGCACGGTTACCTCGAGCGCTTGGCGCAGGTCAAGTACACGTGCGGGTATCCAATTCTCATGAGCGGCGAGCGCAGTACAGGTTGTTGCAGGAGTGTTGAAAGTCGTCATGCGTGCATGAATTTGGAAAATGAAATTCGTCTCTTTTGTTTAATTCCGTCTTCATTGATAGAGTTTGATAGATAATGTGATCTACAACAAGTGATTTTTTAACCAACTTTTTGTAATGTGAATAAGTGAAAGGGTTGGGTTAACGTTTGGATTTTCGATAAGTAAATATTTGAATATTTTGTTTTTGACTTGTTCATTTCAGCGTTATGATATTAATATTAGTGAGAAAATATTACATGTTAGATTTTATTGGAAACAAGCAAGATTGTTATTATTTTAAATCGTCAAGAAAGCTGGTAAAAAATATTTTGTGGTGATTTGATACATTTACACACACTTTGCACAATGAATAATTTTACCTAAAGGAATTTCCTGTTTAATTGTAATAAGCACAGTATTTCTATAATTTCTACAGAATACGTACAATCTTCAAAGTGAAAACTAACTACGTAAATGTTTATATACTATCAATGAATAAACCTCCGCTCAAATTTAGTTATCGGGACTTCACGTTGCAATTAAAAAAATATGTAATCTCACACTGAATAGCGAAAAGACACTACATTAAAAAGTTTTGTTTCTTTTGATTCCAGTTGGCTAAATTATATTTCTTAAGGAGTTAAAAGTTTACTTTTGTTAAAATGGCAAAATTTTCAAAAAATATGATCAGTCATAAAAATCAACTTAGTCTTTCAGGATGTTTTGAAAAATCTGACCAACCAATAGAAAACGATTTTTCACCAACAAAGTAATCTATGTTTTTTGTGTGTATGTTATTGAATTGAGAATAGTAACATATTTTTTCATTGATATAAAAATGTTTATCTTTGTAGAAAAACTTCTGCAAGTAAAAATTTAAGTGACAAAAATGATAGAAATAATATAAACATCACAAATTTATCTGATCATATTTATATCGACCTTACAAACACACCTGACATGTTATCTCAAAATAGTACAACTATTTGTAAATTGGATTCTATTATTTCGGTTGTGAGTTGATAATTTATATTTTTACTTTTAATTATTTAAGTCATATTATATTAATTCTAAAAGATGCATAAATTCTAATTTAGTTCCTTCATAAATATATTTCATTTTACAGAATAGCTCAATAAATGATTATAAAGATTTGAAAACTGAGCAAATTGATTTTTTCAACAAAATGCCTGCAGTTAAAGAGGAGAATGTGATTTATTATATAGCTGATTCAGATGATGAAAAAGAAAATAATATAAATAATATCAAATCTATTGAAGATACTAAAAGTAACAACAATTATGCATGTTTAAGTATTCATAATAAAAGTGAATGTAATTTTAAAGAGATAACAAATACTGGCATTAGTCAAAAAAGTAAATTATATTTCAAAACAGAAATGAACAATGGATCAGATACAGATACTGATTTTGAAGATTCATTTGATGATAATATGATGGTAAATACAGAACATGATGAGGTCTATAATCCACCTAAAAAACTAAAATCAACTCAACATTTTATTTCACACTTATACAATGAAAAACTAACGAATGATAAGAACAAACAATTGAAGCATCCCACATCAAATTTATTACATAAATCTTCAAATACAAATTGTGGTTCTAATACATTATCTGAATTTAACAATGAATTGAAAAAATGGATGGAAACAGTTAATACTAATCCATTGATTGCTTCTAAAACTCTGCCTGTAAATATAAAATATTTTACTTATATTAATAATTTAACATCATTTTTAACTAACAGTTGTAATATTTTAAATATATATTTCTCGAATTAATTCTTTCATTTTTCAGTTACCACAAGATGAATTGGAATCTGCTAAAAACAATCTTAAAAGTATTCAAAATGAGATACTGGAAAATTATTTCAAACTCATCGACAAAATTCCTCTTGAAATTTTAAATGAATTTCCTCATTTTGATTCAAAATTATATCAAAGTTTAAGAAGTTTATACCATAGAGTTAAAGCAAAAATATGTCAAACAGATAAAAAATTGTTAAGTATTTGTACTCGATCGCTGACTAGTAATCTAAAAACAATTAAAAATTCAGAAGTATTCAACTATAAAGATAACAATATAGTTGATAATGATGAAGAAAATTTTCAGCATAATGTTACCAGTAATGGATCCTGTAATAATGATAAGAATCATTTTAATGAAAGAAGCATTAAACATGCAAAACACACAGAGTCTCAGAATTCTTGCAATCAAGAATCTGTGATTAATAACCTAGTGGAACCTTATGATTCAGCATTGAACCAGAGCTTAGATAGCTGTGATACTTTACCATTAAAAAGAGAAAGTCGTTTTGAGTTGAAACTGCCAATTAAAACAATTCTAGATCCTTTGGCTTCAAAACAAATTAAGAGTATTTTAGAAAAAGTCCAAATCAAAAACAATAACAATGACAATACTGTCAGTTCGAATGAATCCACTTTAGAAATGCAGTTAAGCAGTGAGACTCCAAGTGAAGTTAATGTTATAGAATCTGAAGCAATTTATTCCGAATGTAAAGATAAGGATTCTTACAATGATGCAAAATCAACTAATTGTTCGAAAACTGCCAGTCCTAATTTAGGGAAAAATTGCAGTTTGCAAAATTATGAATTAATACCTTCAATTTCTTTATGGAGTAATTTTGGTAAAAATATATTTATACTTTATTTCATGATGTAGAATTTGTTTAATTCAAGTAAAATTCTTTTTAGGTCAAGAACTGGAGAATACTAATGATACTATAGAAGATAGGAATATGTCTGATAACTTAGAAATTTTAACAGTTACTGAAAAGAATGAAAGAAAAAGCAGTTTTTATTCTAATGATCATGAATTATTGCCCGAAATTTCATCCTGGAATACTCTTAGTAAGTAGATAACAAGTATTATTTTTTGATACTGTTCAAAGATCTTTAATTTTTAATAAATTTATCTATTTTAGAAAATGATTTTATAGATGTCAATCATACTCAAAAATTTGAGAAATCTCTAACCCAACAATTACAAGAATTTCCAGTACTTGATAATACTGCATTTAATATTGCACCAACATCTGGCAAATCGAAATTTGAATTTTGTAGATTGCAGGAAACTTCTCAAAGCAGCAATAGTCCAATAGGCAAAGGAATTCAGTATGTAATTCCACAGTTTACACAAGATAATTACAAAAACGATGGTGTAACTGGAGAATATGATAGCCTAGAGTATCCTCATTCCAGAAGAATGTTAAATGTATGTATCGAGATAAAATTACAATTAAAACATGAAATAAACTATATTAACATTATAGATCTTCAGACAAACATTTGGTTTATTAAAATTTAGACCAAATCAACTTCAAGCAATCAATGCTGCTATTCTTGGATATGATTGTTTTATCTTGATGCCAACTGGTGGAGGAAAATCTTTATGTTATCAATTGCCAGCTTTAGTTTCACGAGGTATTACTATAGTTGTATCACCTTTGAAAAGTCTTATCATTGATCAAGTTCACAAATTGACTTCACTGGATGTAAGTATAATGTTATTAGGATATTTGCACATAGATTTTGAACTATCACTCAATTAAATCAAGTAATAATTTTATACTATAATGATTAAAAATATTTAGATCTCAGCAGCACATTTTCTAACAGAAGCAGAGTCACAGGATGTATACAGAGAATTAGCAAAACAAGAACCAACTTTGAAGCTTCTATATGTAACACCTGAAAAACTTTCAGTTTCTTCAAAACTCAAGCAAATTCTTACGGCTTTATACGAAAAAGATTTGTTGTCCAGATTTGTGATTGATGAAGTTCATTGCATTAGTCAATGGGGGCACGATTTTAGACCAGATTACAAGAAGTTAACAGCACTTCGACTACAATATCCTAAAGTTCCAACTATGGCACTAACAGCTACAGCTACGCTGTGTGTCAGGACTGATATACTTCAACAATTGCGCATGGATGATCCTAAATGGTGAGTTTTGAAGCTTTTTTATTGTTGTTATGATGTATTCCAGCCAAAATTAAGCTTTTTTTTTCTGAAAAAATTCAAATATAATTATTAATTTTACAGGTTTATATCAAGTTTTAATCGGCCAAATTTACGTTATACTGTATTGAATAGAAAAGGAAAAAAATTTGTCAATGAAATTGTGGAAATGATAAAAACGAATTACATGAATAACTGCGGTATTATATACTGTTTATCGCGTAAAGATTGCGATTATATGGCTACAACCTTGCAAAATAATCAAATTAAAAGTCTAAGTTATCATGCAGGACATAGTGATCAAAAGCGACTGGAAATACAATCAAAATGGATATCAGAACAGGTGTGAAAGATTTAATACAATTTTTTCAACAGATAAATACAAATTCACGAGAATTTTATTTTATCAAACAAATTTACTTTTTTATTCCAGATAAAAGTTGTTTGTGCTACTATTGCTTTTGGAATGGGAATAGATAAGCCTAATGTTAGATTTGTTATTCACGCCACTATTCCAAAATCCATTGAAAGTTACTATCAGGAAAGCGGTCGAGCTGGTCGTGATGGTGAAAAAGCTGATTGTATTATGTTTTACCAATATAGTGATATGATGAGGCACCGAAAAATGATAGAATTTGACATATCTGTTAATACTAATCAAGAAGCTCAAAACATTCACTTAAACAATTTATTCAAAATTGTGGGTTTTTGTGAAAACAAAACAGATTGTCGAAGATTTTTACAACTAAATTATTTTGGAGAGATGTTCGATAGATCATTATGTATGGCTAATAAACAAACAATTTGTGACAACTGCAGCAACAAAGTAAATCTTGATTTGGGTTATTGATAGTTAATTTAAAAGCTTATGAATAACATTCACTATTTATAGATTATTCATTTTACATAAAAGAATTGTCAAATATACTTACATAATTTTAATTGATGTAATGTAATTTTGTTTTATCACAGGACGATTTTTATAATGCTGACGTCACTGAACATGCTCGATCACTTGTAACTTTAGTGAGAGATATTACTAAACCAAGAACCGCTAATGTAACTGTTCTACATGTTATTAATGTATATAATGGATCTAATTTAAAAAAAATTAGAGAACAAAGTAAGATATTTCAACTAAACTTATATTTAACTAATAATGTCTTAAATTTTTATTTACTCTTTTAAGATCATGATAAACACCCTTTATTTGGCAAAGGAAAATCTTGGGGTGAAAGTAAAATAGAAAGATTAATACATAAATTAATAATTGAAGATTATCTAAGAGAAAGGCTGGTTATGTCTCGTGACACGTTTAGTTGTGCTTATGTTGGCCTAGGACTTAAAGCTGAAGAATTAATGACAACTGACATCAAAGTATATTTAATTAAGCTCTGGATTACTAAATAACATTTTATTTTTTTGTGGAAGCAGATAATCATAGTTTCTAATAAATACATTTTCAGGTAACTATACCAATCGAGACAGAAAACCAAACTACGCTATCTCTAGAATCAAGTGTTAATTCTAATCCACATAAGATTACATCTGAAGTTAGAGAACAGCTAGAAAAAGATTTAATTGATCTTGAACAACGGTGTTATACAGATCTCGTTGATATTGTTACTGGTATTGCTGAAACATTGCATGTATCTACTAATTCAATAATGAACATAGTTTCTCTTAAAGCTATGAGTCAACAATTTCCTGAAACTAAAGAAGAAATGCTAAAAATAGCACATGTAACAAAAACCAATTTTGATAAATATGGCAATATATTGCTTGATATAACTGGAAAGTATGCAGCAGAAAGACTTAGTTCGTACAACTTACATTTACATTGAGATTTCAAAGAATTATTCTTGTAAAATATGATTCAATTTAATATTTTTATTTGTTTAGTTTTACTAGCTGACCAAACCCTAACAACAAAAATGGAAACTACAATGACAAAGGAACATTTTCAAGATGAGGATTTAGTTAAAGCTGAAAACAATGTATCAGAAAGTACTAAAAGAAAGGCTAAAGTTAGAAATAATAATTTCAAAAGATTTAAAAAAGATACTAGTGCATCTAGAGACAATACTAGGTTTGTTGATTTAAAGAAATATTTAAACGTTTGACTGTTGAAACGTTTCAAAGTTTATAAGTAGTTAAACAAAAGAATTTTGGGAAAATTTGATTGGTTACTTTATTACCTGTGCGTGAGATTACATTATTAGTGTTGATTAAAAGAATGGTATTAATAAAAAGTAGTTAACAAAAAAAATATTTATTGAATATTGACACATGTAACAAAGTATTTGTTTAGAATCTAAGTAATATTGCCATTAAAAGAATGGTGGCTGTTGAAAGTAACAAAAATGATACTTTTAAACATTATGTTTGAAACAATGACTTTAAATTTTTCTCAATAAAAACATTTTTGTTAAAGTGATTGGAATTCAACAAGCATTTTTGGTAATAATAATAACAGTAGCAGAAGTACAAAATCAACATCTACAAATTGCAAAACTAGCCATGTTAAATTACCAAAAAGAAAGCTATATCAGAGTTATCCAGAACGTTTCGTGAAACTAATTTAGGTTTCTCTTAAATTTTAATATTGTTTATGATTATGTTCTAAAATTTGCATGATGTTCAATAAAAATTTGTTTCTTATGTTTAGTTCTTATGTTTAGTAATGTTACATTGAATTTAAATCAACGTTCAAATGAAAGTAATTATAAAGAATGTAAGGAATGAATAAATATTTTTTGCATGATATAAATGTAAATAAAAACTTGAAATAGTTCTGTTGTAAAACAAATTTTAATCAGTTAAAAATAATAAAGTTTATGTTATTCATTTGAAAAAGTAACCTAATTTGTACAGTACCTCAAAACATAATGGTATCACTATCAATACTATTCAGTACAAGTTAGGCTGTGCATACCGGTTTTCTCTATTTTCATTTTTAACGTGTTTCTTTAACAATTCCATAACTTCATTTTGAAATTCTGGGGGTACAGGCTTAACTTCAACAGCCCAATAAAAGATATCCCAATCGTTTGATGGAAGATTAATTAAATGATCGTATTGTTGAAGTTGTTGTTCATTAAATCCATCTAAATATTTTTTGGCAAATGTACTGAGGAGTAGTCCATTTTCTAACATTCCACGTTTTCGTGATTGGTATAACAATCTGTTGAAACATTCAGTAATGGAGTATATTTACATAATTTTATAAAAAACATTAGAATTTATTTTTATTCAACTTAAAATAAACAATTTTAATAATAAGTAATAGGTAATTAACATTTTAACCCTTAACTGCTATGTGGAGTAGATTTACCCCAGACAATTTTTAACAATAAATAAAATTTATTTTTTTTTTTTTCAACCATTTTTTTCAGTTTGTGTAACATTAAAAATTGTTAATCTGAATATTTTTTTTTGTAGTGAAAGGCTTGAAATATACTAGAAAAAATTTTCATAGCAAAATATCTAAAATTCTCTGATTTATTCGATGTTTTTCGGGCTGGGATAGATTTACCCCACCGAGCAGTTACGTGGCCAAAATAAGGTGTGCAAGTTAAGAGTTAAATCAAAATAATATTCACTAGCAGTTGTATTTTTAGTTTTAATTATGACTACAATAGAAATAAGCAATAATTATATTAATAAAAATCATTTAATATCATACCTAGCTTTTTTGATAGCAGTATTTTCGCCCTCTTTTTCTACATAAGGTGGTATGCTTGGTTCACGACCCTTCGGGTGATGCAATTCATCAAAAGGCTCTTTATTGTTTATTATGCAAGTTGTGCAAATCCTTTTGACAATTGCAAGAGGTTTAACCTAACAATTTATTTCAAACTAGCAGTATGTTTGTTACAGTTAAAAATATTACAAAATTTATATTTCTACTTACTACTGTCGAATTATACCTTACAATATTATTCATGTTTACCAAACTATTTCTCAAGCAGTAAATAATTCAGTATTTCTTATTCGTAAAAGCTTGACAAGTTTTTCCATTACAACTAGACGCGGCAGCACTGAATTATGCTGATGACCGTCACGAATTAAAAATAACAATATTTCATAAAGTCTATACCCACCGTGATAATTATCCACTAAGGTAACCACTTATTAAATGAAACGTTATAAAAGGAACACGAACAAAAACAATTTTTTTAATTTTAATTTTACTAATGGAAGTTGATTGGCAGTTTAAAATTACGTTTAATATTTGTATGTATTTATTTGATATTTATAGGTTAATAAAAAAACAACATTATAATACAATTAAGATATATAGCGTACTTTTATATTACTTGCAATCTTACTCATTCATTTTTTCTCAAGTTCAAAACATTCATTCAATTAAAATCATTATTACATATTACGTTAAAGAGTCATAATAAACAAGTGGCATAATATTAACAGCAGTGGTAATCAGGAATTTTCTTATACATAGGTTAATGATTAATCAAATATACATATATCATTTCTTCCCAGATTTCTTTATGCCACCACTAACAAGAGGACCTTTTTGTCCAGCCTTTTTAGCAGCTTCCTGCATTGCTTTCTGTTGCTCTTTTTGTTTTTGTTTGAAAGCTAGGTCGTGTTCATCTAAATCCTTGGTATCTTTCTTTGGAGCTTTTAAAGGTTTCTTTTTCCCTCCTTCACGTCCAGACATTCTGAAAATAAAAAAATATTTTAATGAATTTTTTAATACAGAAATGATTTTAATTTTATTGTATTATTGTATGTATTTATAAATCTATGTAATAATATTATATGGTAATATGTGTTATTAATTAAAAAACCATCCACAAAATCTTAACTCATATATAATATTTCAACTTTATTGTAACATAAAAAATAAGATGATACTGGCCATGTATAGGCAGTAAAAATGATGTAAATGTCAAGATCAAAATAGCAAGTTAAAAATAAATGATTAATGAAGTAGAAATTTATATTAACTCTTTTTTTAAAGAAAAAATCTTGAAAAGCTAACCTCAACACTTGAAATATTTTTGTATAGTTGGACATTAAAGAAAACTAATATAAAACTTACCCTAATAAAGTAAATAACTTGTTCAACTTTTATAAAAATTAAATACATTTAATATATTGTAATTACTTACTTGAATGAATTATAGTAGAAACACAGGCAAATTATTAGTATAAAGTTTCTGGTAAACGCTAAAGCGTGCGTTGTTTGAAGTGAACTCTATATATGTATAAACAACTCATCAATCAACGAGATTTTTATTATCGACTGTAAGTAACTGGTATTATTTTCGAGAAACATTGCAAAAGAACGACCTCTGGGGAACAGAAAAAGAATTATTAAGTAACAGCTGATTGTCAGATGATCAGCAGAGCTACCAACTGTTTTTGTAAACCAGAGATATTACATTTTTACGTAAATCCGACAAAAACTATGTGTATTTTTTGTTATTAAACCTTAAATGACAGCTCTCATCGAGATTACCACTCAATAATTTCATATTTTTCAAGCGTTTATGACTGTCTAGTTCCAAATTCTAACGTTTCAATTTTTTTAAATACATTATCGAATGAAGAGCTGCGCAGTGATATACGCTTTCCGGTCTCTCTATGCTTCCCTTTGTGCGATCACTGCCCACCACGACTGCAGTAGGGATGGTGGAACGGTAAAACGACAATCAATACATCATGTTAACGAAACTGCACAAAGAAAACACTGTTTGCTGAATTAGCCATGTGATAACTTCGAAGCTTTTTAGTAATAAAATAAGAAAATGTGTTTTATAATTATGCTAAAGTTAAAGCTAAATTATGCTGAATTAATGATCGTAAGAAATATTTCCATTTGATTATACATGCATGTGTTTATTAAATGAGAATCGGTTGGAAAATATTCTGTATGTTCATATCTCATATTATTAATAGAATAAAAGCTGCTAAAAAGTAAATTCATTTAATTTAGTATGATAGCCGTAATTATAATTCAATAATCATGGCTGTAACTTTCCATTCTATAATACATATGAAATGGTATAAGTACATGTATGAGCTATTAAAGATATTCTTTATTTTCAATTAAAACAAATTTCACTATACATTTGAGTTAATTTTTCGACTTCCATTATAAAATCTCCAATAATTTTCTAAATATAAGCTGCCATGGTGAAAAGTGAATACAAAAGAATTTTATAAAAATACGTTTGCCGGCATATGTTATTACAAAAAATAATCCAAATTTTTGTTGTATAAGTAACACTTGAATTTGTAATCTTCATTCAATTTAAAAACTTTGATGTATATTAATTTTTATGTTTAAAAAATCGTTTGGGTTTAAAAGTGAACGAAGTGATAAAGTACTGTTTTGTTAAAAGTCAAACTAAACGTAAAAAATAAAACAAAAACGTCAATAGTATAATTGTAAAATAAAATTGATTTATCGTAATTAGCAGGCATTTTGAAGCAAAATGAGCGAAAGCCACTTTCGATTATTACACGAATCGCCCTTACTCGGGCGATTAGCAACAAAAATTCTAGCAGTCGCAGGAGCAGGTAAAGTCAACGGGGGAAAGATATAAAAAAAGAATATAACTGGAGCTGTGAACGATTGCAAGCAGCGAGCAGTGAGAGAGAGAGAGTGGGAGTTGGTGTAGTCGCGGCTATAGAGGGGCAAACACGAAGGAATGAGCGAGCGAACACGGCGGCGCACAGCGAGGCGAGTGCGATTCTCTTTGTGCTCGGAACGACGAGAGACGAAGTAGAGTTGGCAAGCCTGGTTGGCGTAGCAGCCGTCTCTCCGCAGGCTGTCAGAGTTCCTGGGCCAGTTGGCAACAGACCATCGTTCCGCACGGGTCGTCAGCCGCAATTAGAAACGCAAGTGCGTCGTCGTTGTCGCCGTAATCGTTCAAGTTTTGACGAGCGAAGCCTGTAGAGAGCACCAATCCGAATGCTCGCGAAGTCAGAACCGTGTAAACTCGCAGGTGACTCGATCGCCTGCAGGACTTGTTCGTTAAGGGGTTATCGCAAGCAGTAGCTCTGAGGGCGCAGGAGACAGCAACAGTGCCAAGTTGCTCTGGCTTGGTGTGTTTTTTGTTGTTGGTCGTTTTCCGTCACGGCCATAGCCCAGGGACAAGAGGGCTTTGGCCTTTGACCCGAGCAAGCGAAAGTAACGTTAACGACAGTTGGAAGGGAGCACTAACAGAAAGCTGCAGAGGCCACAGAAGAAAGTAGTGAAGGCGATCAGCCATGGGGCCTGACTCGAACATTTGACCCTCGGCTGGCGACTCCGGGCTCGGTGCGGTGTGCAGCAGGATTGTTCAACTGTTCAGGCAGCTCCAGTGCAGTTTCTATCGGTGAGTCAATAACTACCTATACGCACATTCGCAGCAGTTACCCTTCGCGGTTCGCTTCGATCGCCAGCTCTTCTCTCTCCCGTTCTCTGCGTCAATACTTTTCCGCGGCTCTCTTTTCTCCTTTCCCCTTTCACTCGGCCAATTATATGCACAGGTTCGCTCCTCCCAACCTCGCTCTACCCGCACGAGGACCAGTTTTAGCACACATTGTAGCTTCCTTGAGATTTTCACGTGAGGCTTTTAAATGTCGAAAAAAAGTGAGGGGGCAGCGACTATCGGCAATCACGGTGCACTCTGTCTTTTTAAAAGGCTGATACTGCGCGAATAGCTGCACAATGGTTGCCGTGCGCTAGACGAGGACGGCATGAGCGTAGCGCTCGAGGCGCTCGAGACGCAAAATCAAAACAAAGAGGTGCGCATGTAGGGGCAGCAGCCTAAATCGGCCCCTTGGAAAGAACCCAAACAAAAAACCCGAGTTCGTTGATATAATAAGTACATTCCCATTTCTCTCCTCGCTTCTTTGGCTATATGTGTGTTTGGCATCAGCAACTCTTATATATACAGGTTCGATTCCTCCTCTCTCTTGTTTGTTCTCTGTGTATGCGTGCGTGTTCGGCCTTTAAAAGCCAAACATATTTGAGTGGGTCATCAGACGTGTAAAAAAGGAGTAGCTTTGAGTTTTATTCCGTTGATCGAGTCGATGCTTGGCTGTATAGGTGTGTACACTTACGTGCGGTTGTGCGCGCATATGTGGGTTGCCTGTATTTTTGCATGTGTGTGTGCATCGTTCTCTCTCTTTTGCTCTCTCGCTCCCTATCTTTATCGTGCTGCCTTGCTTGCACGGTCCCCTCTCTCGTGCAACGACAGAGCCCGTCTCTCTCTCTCTCTCTCTCACTCACTCACTTGCTTCAAAGTCGCTCCGCACGACATGCTCTCCGGCTTTCCGTCCCGTTAGCGTTTTCGATCGAGCCTCTGGTATTGCTTGCCTGCTGCCTATACATACTCGGTACTGTCTTTTCCGATGGTGTCTTTCGTCGCTTCATTTTTTTCATCGAAGTCGGCCTTCATCCCTTAGACCACACTTCCACATTCAGTGCATCCTCGACGATAATAAAACTTATACACCCAAAATAGATTGACTATTCGTATCGCTAACTTGTACGTTCAAATTGTAACTCTACTTGTTGCTTCTTTAGTTATTATTATTTTATACTTACCTGTCACCTTGGAAATTCTTCACTATAGTCAATCGATTTTTCTCAATTTGTAATATGAAAGTAATAGTTTTGTGAAACGAGAAAAAAGAAGTAAGTTCAGTAAATTCATAGAATCGAATCTTCTTAATACTTGGAATGCCTCGACGCATGGACGAAAATATTGATTTTTTGTTTGACAAAGCCTAGACCAGATGGTACCTTTTTTTATCTTAGAACATCTTTTTCATTTTTGCCTCGAATTTGAAAGTGGGTTAAGGCTCTGTGAAAATTGAAAGCAGTAAAAGTTTCCGATGAAAATTAAACTGTGAAATAAAATACTGTATTGTACATTGCGAAATCTCACACAATTGGATCGACCGTAAAGATATAAAGAAGTGAAACTTGGCGTTTCGAAAGGAAAATTAAGATTATGATCGTTGCAAACTAATAAAAGTATATTTGCTATTGAATACAAGTTTAAGTGCCTAGAGTTGAATTAAATATGACACGGACGCGCAATGTGTAACTCGAACGAGGTCTATAATAATTCAGTTGTAGAGTATTTCTAAAATTTTGTACGTACCTCAGCAAATCAAAATTACGTCAAACTCGTGCAATTTTTATTTGAATTGACAAATTTAATTGATCTTATTCTCCGGATTTGCAGAGGCGTGTTTCGTCACTAACGATGGCAATAACTCTTTTGCGATTTTGCCGGAATGCAGTGATTCCGTTAAATTATTTTACAAGGGCTAATTGATTGTGCGAATCCGAGCTTGAAATCCTGTTTTATTAGAACTCAGTTGATCATGTAGGATCAGTCGACACTGCCTGTAAATAAATCATGGCGGATAAAACTTTGTAGAATGAAAAATGAGATGATATGTATAAAGCGGAAAATGTAGGATAAAGAAACGTAGTTTATAGCAGATGGGTGAAAGTGAAAATATAAACGAAAGAAGAAAGTCATATCGGAAATTAACACGAAGCGGCATGCAGTTGGGTGCTTCCTTGTGCGCGCGCGCGTGTGTGCGGTGCGTGCTTATGTGCGTGTGTCGCTAATGGCAGCCGAGGAAACGCGTGTCGGTGCATGCATTTATTCTCGTAACATATTGCGATTTCACGAATGTATTGCAAGTTTCCTGTGCGCGCCATTGTGCGCGCAGCAAACCTTCGGAGAAGGAGAGAGGCCAACTGTATAATTTCATCAGATATACGCGTTTTCTTTTTTTTCACAACTCTTCGATTCTTCTATTGTATTTTCTGCTTTAGTTGACTCGCACGCCACTGTTTAATATAAAGTTGTCGATATCTGGTATTCCGAAATCCCTTCAACGATCACGGGATGTGGATAAATGAAAAAACGTGCTTCTTGCAGATCGGCTGCAAAGAGCGTACAATGCCAGGACGAGCGTCAGCAGCGCGGCAGTTGATGCATAATGTAGCAATAAATGAATGAGTTTTCGCGTAAGAAGGAAAGGCGCACTGCCGTCGGCATTTATCGTACATCGACAGAAGGAGAAGAGCGGCGCGCGCGATTTTCCAGCGCATAGGATAAAAATGGAAAGTCGATTGACATATCGACGAGGGATGGCTGAAGTGTGATATCTCGAGGTATCGAGGGATAAGCGTGCGGGCCGAACGGAGCGCAGTGCGATAGAGGGAGAGGTGTGGCGGGGAACGCTGCTATGCTCGCGCGAGCACAATCGTGTAAACGAGCTGACCTACATCGGCCTGCTTCGCTCTGTCGCTTGCCCGTTTGCTATTAGCTGGTGCTGCTGGCTGCTGCGGATTCCACAGCTTCTCCGAGATGCTTATTCGCGACATCGTTGGGGGGCAGCCTTTGACGAGCTTCCTTCTCTCTCCCTCTTTTTCGGGCTCTTTCGGCGCCCAATCAAACCTGCTTGAGCGCACTGTACACGTAGATATCTGTGAATATGGGCTAACGTTTGTACACAGATTAGGCGGTCAACTGTGTCCTCGCGACATTCAAATTGCATTCCTTCGCGCTGAGCAAGCGAGTTCGGCGCGCACCGTATGCCGCATCGTATACGTCGGCACGCAACAAGTGCACACGAGGCGATAGTTGTCCATCGTTCGTTAGTTAGTCCATCCGTTGGTCTGATCGGAGCCATTCCGATATCCTCGCTCGTGCCCGTCGGTCTGTAGGCCGAATTTGAGTAAATCCGACGCGCGAGCTCCCGTGCTGCGTGTCGTGTGACGACAGCAACGCCACGGCGTTACGTCATTCGGGTTGTGCGCGCCGCTCTATCACGCAACGGCGGTGTCGAGACTTGGTCAAATTTTTCAGCGATGCATAGATAAGACGGTAATTTCTTGCGGAACACTCGCCAGATCGTATACCGCTGTTTTATACTACCTCCGAGCATTTAAATAAGTTCAGGGTCACAGGCAATCGCGCAAGCGACATTTTGACGCGACGGGTTATTGCGTAAGATGCTTGACATTCGATAAGGGAGCTGCCAATCGTGCTCGCGGAACCTCAACCGACAGGTCATTCGAATCGAATTAGTCGCTTGCTGCCTCTGCAAAGGCTAGACCCTCCGGCTTTTCTCATTTTTATCATCCAGTCCGCTTTCGGGCTTTGGAATTCGCGCGAGGTATACGTCGTGCATCCACTTGCGAGATGCCAACTGCATAGTGTATTCGAGTCTCCAACGGAGAGACGATTGCCGTACGATTTTGCAAGCGCGAGCTGTCCTCATTGTTCCGAGATATTGCTGCTATTTCGACCGTCCAAGTTCTAGCAGCAGTGCCTAAGTCGAAAAGTGCCCAGCCAGAGCTTCCGATTCTTATTTTCCAAAGGAGAAAAACGAAACCAAGAGGCAATGATTTAGCGGAGCATTGCGTCATTGTGTACACGTGGAGGGGGGAAGGGGCCGAGCGTAAAACAACGCTTACGACTTGGCAGCTATAGCGTTCGTTGCAGCGCAGCGCGCGTGGACTACGTAGAACTGCGGGTCAAGAGCAAACGAGCGCGCGCGCGCGAGAGAGAGAGAGAGAGAGAGAGAGAGAGAGAGAGAGAGAGAGAGAGAGAGAGAGAGAGAGAGAGAGAGAGAGAGCGAGAGAGAGAAAAAGAGAGCTCCTTGAAGTAATCGATTTGACAGGAGTCGCGCACGTGTTGAATCAGCTGATTAGAGGCGGCGCGTGCGGCGGCGTTGCACGCCACGCGAGAGCCTCTGTCCCCGATGCTACACGTATAGTTATACAGACCGAGCGAGTTGCGGTTGCGATCGCGCGAGGTCGCGGCAACGAGCGACCAGAACGACGACGGTGCTGCCTCGCAACGGCTGTTTCCAAGCCGCGCTTTACATTTTACATCGCTCACCTTCCTCTCGGCTCCTTCTTCTCCGTTCCTTGCTCGACAATTTGCTCGCATGGCGCCTGACAATTGCGTCTAGCCGCTGTCCATGGGCAAAACTGTCGTTTCTCTATGTTGATTGGCCGGCTTTTCAGTCCTGTCTGCCCCCTCCCCCTCTTCCCCGGTCTGCAATAGCTTTTGTCCGCGAAGCATATGGCTTTCAATGCCACTGGCTCGCCGCGCCAGAGCAAGTGTGTCGCTCGAATTGTCCACGGGTAATTTGTCAAGCGCCCGTTGCAATCGCCTGTGCACAGGGTGGTCGACGAAAAGGACGCGCTCTGCTCTGGACGAAGACGATGCCGGGTGGCGACGAGCCAATGCGAGCGCGCGTACTTTGCACGCACTCGTCGAATGCATATCTCATTGAAAATGTCGGTTGCGTTCGATCGAGTGGCGTTACGTAAGCTGCAGATCGGCGCGAC